GAGAGTACTGCCCAGGTATGGGAAGTTCTCCACCACTTGCAGTTGGGTCCCATTCACGCTGATTTGCGGCGGCGCGTTGGGGGCTGTGGCCGAGTTGGGTGGCGGTTGGTGCATCACCACCGTCTTCTGTGTGTTGATGACCCTTCAATATATACATACATACATACATACAGACATACATACATACATACATACATACATACAAAAACTGGTTGAAAAATGAGAAAAATAGTACACGAATGTTTGCTTCGAGAAGGCGAGTCTTTAAACAAGTGATGAAAATTTACACCCAGGACCTGAGAGTTGTTTGGATTTACTGATATTTTGGCAGCAGGCGTGCAATGGCTAAGATCTACATTAGCAGAAATTTCGGTTTGCGAACTATGGAACGCGTGCAAACACACTTATTAGTTTTACTTCAGATTGCTCATGACAGGCTCAAAATATTCTCGAGCTAAGTGTAGAATCTCATTTCTAAGTTTATATAGTTGTTTAAGTGGGGTTTCAGTTGGGGTAGTTGCCCGCATTCAGCCTCGAACTCCAACGGCATCTACAAGTATTGGGCAATGTAAAAAATTTCCATAGCAGGTCGTATGGGCAGAAACAAAGGAAGAGAGGTTTAAGAGCAACCAATAATTAATTTCTCTTGTGCCAGCAAGGTAGGTTATATGAGAAAACACATATGTCCGTTGAAGATCATTCAATCCCAACGTGACGGCGCGTGGTCACATTTTTCAAAAATATATGAAAGCCACTTTTTATATAGGGATTATTCATCTAACATAACTGTGCGAAAATCGGCGACCTCGGTTAAGTTTGAACCCACGACATCAAGTGCGAATCTTGCGCACATCGAATGTTCTAACCACCTGACTCACCAGCCCCATATTGGGAGTTATGTGAATGATCACATTGTAATCATATCCTACACTTGTAGCAGCCTCTCCAGTCCTCCTTTTCCCCGGCTCCGTCTTGTTGATCGATGGCCGCGACAATCGTTGACACACTGCCACCCCCGCCGGCTACAACTGGGACACCTACAGTCCAACTGTAGTGACTCTCGGCTGCCCTCACAAACTTTCATCACCTCAGGCGCGTCGAACGTTGTGGCTTGATACCCGTGAGTGCTTGTGAGTATGCGTCCCCCTATTCCTCCTCTAATCTGTCCACCACATGACCTATACTCAGCCAGTCACCCCCTCCTGCTGACACAGACACTCACTCCCGCGTAAAAAACACACCGCGACTGACGCTCTCCATGAACGGATGCTTGTCTCTGTCGCAAGCAAACAGCCAACTTACGGCAACCTGCCCTCTGTGCAGAATAAACTAGTTCTCACAGCTCGCTGACTTCTGATATGAGACGAAACAGAATTGTTGTGTGTGGTTTAAGTTGATCTCGAATTCTTGACCGTCACAGAATAACTTCATAGGAAATCCTGTTTGACAATTCGCTTGCTCTATCGCAATTAGCGAATTCGTGACGTTGTACTAGGTTAGGCCGGTGACTTTATACGAAATGCGATCCAACTCATTGCTGACGCTCGCAACCTCGTAGACGAGGCGGTTAGAGTAGTGGCCCTGCAAAAGGCTTGCATATGCTGTGATAGTTTCTAACTCTAACAAGGTCGCTGAGTTTCTTAAAAATCGGTCACATAAATTATGCAGATCCGCCAAAAATCCAGTAAGTAAAGATCAACTAAATAGATTCAAAAAAATTTAGAGAAACGCACTGTTAAAATAAAGTCCTTTTAAAATGTGACATTTGATTTTTGACAAATCGTGACAGCATTTTGCCTGTCACCAACGGTGTTCGCGTATTCGTCTTCCAACTTTTCTCTCAGTATATGTTAAGGTCAAAATTGTGTTTCCGTGTATTTGGAAAAAGCGAAATTTTTCCTTTGTCGTGATCATACCCCCCTGCAGCGTAGAATTCAGCCCCTATTCTCTCATAATTCCTTGCCTTAACAATCAAATGCTCACTAACTTGGTCATATTACAAGTAACCTTAAGGATTCAGTTAATCGTGTTCCTACGAAATGCGCTCCACTACTCTCTCTTACTTCTGCGACCCCCTCCCACTCAGGCCACTAAACGCCTTCATTTGCCCTCAAACTAACGACAGCCCCAGCTGTTCCTAGGCCATCTGATGACCCTCCTATAACGCACAAAAATCTGTCCACATCAGCCGAACCGAAGGCTTCCCAACTTCAACAGGGTCCTCCGAGTTCTCTGCTAAATCGCTTTTGGCATGCTGTCAGAGTGATGTGACCCAAAATTTTAATCCCTCTTTGACCAGAAAGAAAGGCAACCGAATTCTACTCAGTAGTATGCCGCCTTTTCTCAGGTTTGGTAAGCCTTAACAACCGAACCCGACTCTAAACCCTTTACATTCAACTATACCCAAAAATAATTCTCTGTCCGACATGCCGGCTACTTACCATGGCCCTGCTATCTATCCTGTAAATAGCCCTTATGCGAATAGGTTAAACTCGTTTACCCTCCAACCTCGTTCAGGCTTCCCACCACTTAAAGTCAACTGAGCCCAACTGAGCACGACGGAATTA